CGGACTTTCATTTCTGCTACCATCACTAGTGCCAGCATCGATGCACCGTTAGATGCTTCGTCATGGCTGGGACCCATCTTTCTAATAATAACTACTGACACAGACTTGAGGGCTTATGCAAGAAATCACTATGTGAAATTTACAGATTCCTTACCTCAACTTCCAGTGTGATTCTTTACACACCGATTAGATTTCACATACGTTATCCTTGCCTCCTCGCTCATGTAGATTGTCTCTTCTATCTTTGATTCTACTTTACGCTCGAGCAAGCAAAGAGAAACTATGGACTAAAGGCTTAGGGTTTTTTTACTCCTTTCAATCAGCTCCTCCATGCAGTCCACATGTCTTTCTCAGCTTTTTCATGTGTACATGGCTAGTCAACTAAATGCAAACACATCAGCACGAAGACAAAGCCATTAGAGAGACTAAACGTCAGGGTAATGGAGCATAGACTTTGGGTAGTTATGGGATATAAATGATCAAATGTTAAGTTTAGGGGCATTTTTAACCTTTCATATGTATTTTATGGATATTTTTGACCCTTAACCCTTTAGTATATGAACTCATGTTTATTCCAAGAAAAAAAATACACATTCTTTTCATATTTAGTCTTATTTAATAGGTTGTCTTAATTACAAAATCTTATTAATTACACCCCTAATTAATAACATTTTTGAAAAAAATCATATTAGTTATATCTAAAAAGATCCAAATTCCAAAATGCTTATATTTTTAAATATGATACTACAAAAAAAGTGCTTTGCAAAGAAGGAGTATAATAAGTGTACTTAATCACAATAAATGATTTGATTAATGAGACAATGTTTGTGCAAGGAGATTGGAGGTTTACCTTTATAAGATGGCTAGTTTTTTTTAAAAAAATATATTTGAAATTATAGTTGTCATTGTTCCCACTATAGTGTCCTATTTAATTTATCTCCAAGTCAATTAGTCCCTATTGGACTAGAGATGAATTTGTTCTCAAGCATAAAAAAAATATTAAGTAAATAAAATTAAGTACTTAAGTCTTTTTTTCTTTTCTAAAGGATTGCTTAATTCAGTCCTTAATATAAGATAAAATTTTAAATTTTTTTTTGATAAATTTAAAATTTTATTTGGTATTTAATATAAGATGAAGTTAGAATAATTAATATTTTTTTTCAATTTTACCCTTGTATATTTATTGTCATTTGAATTCTTGAAACGACAATTTATCATGGTCATTAATTATAAAGAAAAGATAAAATTCAAAAGTTATGTATCATTTTACAAATTAAAGATTGTAACTAACATTTCTTAATAATAGTAAGGTTTGTTAATAATTTCGCTTTATATTAAGGATCGGAAGAGGTACTTCTTTTAATTATCCACATTGAAAACTATCCCATTGATGAAACCTAATTTAATACAAGTACATTATCATTGAAGATAAATACATTTATTATATATTAATGTCAAGTGTCAACTCTAAAATTGATGGGAGAGAGATTTGGTAATTAGAATAGAGGAGATGGCTAGTTAGTGCACATGAGGTTAGGGGAATGGACTCAATTGAGAGGATATTCCTAGCCGCCAACAGCAAATACATGAGTTATGATTGGAGGATTTCCATTTAATTAGTTAATTTCATTTCTTTAATGTAGTGATAATGAAGATTATCTTATAAGTTGTAGGGTTCATACCCACTCAAAATTCTCCACTTCTCTCGTGTTTTAATTATAATTTAATCATTGATCATTAATAATTATTTAGGCAGTGATGCTCTGCCACTTGATTCTGCCTCTCCTATCCCCCCATGAACACTTTTCATTCCCTTCCATCAAGCTCTCCTTACATCAATTTATTTGAATATTATGTTTGAATTGTTAATGTTTTTAAACTTACAGCTTGTTTGAAAAGGGGGGGGGGGATTCTAGTCCAAATTGCAACAGCAACTAATGTGTAGATATAGGATAGGTGCAATTGGTGGGTTGGGATTATTTCAGACGAACCCAAATTAGCCCATATATATATATATATATATATAAAAGCTTATATCGTTAAATCTGGTGCTAGCAATATCTTCTTTCTCTTGCTTTCTCTTTCATTTTTTGTTTTCTTCATCTCATAACTCCCTTTTTAGTTAGCCCTCACCACAATAAAAAAACACCATGTGCGGGCATTCAAGTTATGTTGAACCTAAGTACGTTTGACCTGAATTTTTTTCAAGCATATTCAAATTAATTGAAAAAAGCTTGATTATGAGAAAAAGTATGATTTTTCCAAACTTGGTCATAGTATTTTTAATAGTTATTTGGACCTAGACCAAATTATAGTCTTTATTGCATGTATAAACTCTCCTTATGCTATAGTAATAAAAGAATGCATTACAGTTCAAGATTTATTAATTAATTAAATTAATATATTATAATTTTATACATTCAAATGTGAAAAAATAAATATTGATAAATTTCATAATTTAATATTTACATTTAAACCAGTTAATATTAATAATTGCAATTTAACTCAAAATGAGAATAATCTTTATAGTTTGCCTCAAGTAAATGCCTAATTATACATTTTGTTAAAAAAGTTTGAACCAATTCAATCAATAATTTTTTTTTTATGGTTATGGATTTTTGACCAATTCTCAAGATATACTCTCTGTAGTCCTTTTTATAAAGACAAATGACCGAATGATGCAGATAAAAAAGATAAGGGTAAAATTAGTTAAATGCAATAAATATGTAAAAACTGTAAATTTTTTCTGAAAATAATATCATTTAGTAGGTACAAAAATGTTCTCATAAATGTTCTCATTTTTAGTAGGTGCAAAAATGAAAAATGCCAATAAATATTCCAGACAAGAAGTTAGAGTTTCTTCTATAAATAGGAACAAGTGACCCCTCCAAAAATTCTTTTATAAAAATGGATCGAAGAGAATAATTAATAATGTACGGAGACATTTCAAGCCGATTTAGGTACTTGCTTGCTAATTTTACAATTGATTCAGTTGGTTCATTTCTTTTTTGTTGGAAAACTATGAAGTGTGCGTGTGTGTAACTTTTTAGTCCATTTCATTTTAGTTACCAGACATATCCCGTCAAAATTAGAACTCATGCAATGCCCATGAATGCTAAATTATCATTTTTTTTTTCGTTGTTCACATGTATCTTTCTTTTTTGAAGACAGTTATATTCGATACACGATTATACATTAAATGCGGGCAATTCTCAGTTTCGGTTTGTCACGTTATGAACTGCTAGAATTAATTTCAATTGATAAAATGTCAAGTTTTTCTAGTAACAAACAATTCAGAATTAATTAATTCACTACTATTAACTAATTTACCCAATATGATTAATTTTAATTACCATCACATGCAAATGTTAAACTTTAGAACTTACTTGGTTTAGAGGTTTCAACTATCAATTATCAAGCCCTTTCCCACTCAAATTATCACCAAAACTAATCACCATTCACACTAATAATCATCAGTTCTATTAGATTGGTGAATTTTGCCAAGTCTTTCGGAGAGTGAACCAGTAACAACAGATATTAGCTAGGATTTGACTGGTTGTGAATGAAATTCTGATCTAACCCCAAATATAAGTGCAGGCATCAGAAACATGAGATTATTACTAGAATATAATTAGAATATGTATTGCAAGAAGCCCTTTTTCTACTGTTAATCTGTGTGTGTGTGAGAGAGAGAGTGCCCCTAGTGCATGGGTGGGCCTTGAACTTCCCCACCAAAAGAGAGAAAATAAAGAAGTTTCACAGTCTGCACATACACACAGAGACAGAACCTGTGGATGAGAAAAAAGAAACCTTTTTCCAAAGTCAATGCATCTTTCAAGTTTGTGATGTTTCTCAATGGCGAGAGAGAGAGAGAGAGAGATTGATGCCCTCCAAAGAATCATATTCTTGCAGAACCAGGTTCTTTCTCACCCCTCCACCACCATCCTCCACCTTTTTTTCCCCTCCTCGTTGACTCTCTTGACAATAGTAATTACATGTTACTCAACCCCTTTAATCTTCTCATCGATCAAACCCTTCTAATCCAAGCTTTTACATACTGTGCATGTCACATGTTTGTGTACTGTTATCAGATCTTATGATCTCTCCTCATCTATTTTTGACTTTATCTGAAATAGTTTTGATTATCCACTCACCGTTTTACACCAATCTCTTCATTATTGTCTTATTGGGGTCACCACTTTAATATACCATCATGATTAATTATACCAAATGAAGGATTATTAGACAAAAAGGTTTGGCATTTTCTTTTTTTATTACATTTCTGTCAATTCAAGAGGGCAAGAAAAAGAAGGCCTTTTGATTATCCTCGTTGACTCGGAGCGTATATGGATAATAGCCTCTCCTTTCTTTTCTTTCAATATCTTTTTTCTCAGCAGAACAATTGTTGGAAAATTAATCATTTGTCACTATAATTTTAATTTAATTATAACTTAATCTTTAAATTTTAACTCATTACAACACTTGTTATTATAATTTAACTCAATTATAACTCAATATCTAAAATTTAATTTAGTATAACTCAATCTTTATAATTTTATCCATTTAAAATATTAATTTTTAAATTTTAATAATAACTTTATTTTTTATAATTTTATTTTTTAAAATGCAAGGACTAACATTTTAAATTAATAGAATTATAAGAAATGAATTGTTAGAGTCAAAGTTTAGTAATAAAGCTTTAATTGAGTTAAAATTATAGATATTATGAATTACATTGAGTTAAATTTTTACTAAATTAAAATTATAACGACCAATTAATAATTAATTTTCTCAGGAGGTGTTGCTGTGTGTATTCTGAATGCTAAACATTAATCCAATAACAATTTCGTATGGTGAACATTCTTGTCCTTATTATAATCTTTCGTCCTCTAAAATACTAAAGATTTGATTCTGCTTTTGCTGCTGCTGCTTCTTCTTCATCAATCACTCCCTCTCTTTCTCTACCCACCTTTATATTTGTGTACTTGTACAGCTGTTTATTACCTCTACACAGAAAAATTCCACAGAGAGAGAGAGAGAGAGAGAGAGAGAGAGAGAGAATATGGGTGTGGACATACAGGGAAGGCTTCGTCTAGCTCTTGGCTCTGTGAAGGACCATGCCTCCATTGGAAAAGCTCTGATCATGTACTATCACCAACAACATCATGGCCTTTCCAGCATAGAGATCGCAGTTCTGCGAGCCACAGGTCATGATAATGGCGCCATTGATGACAAGTACATGCATGAGATCCTCTTCCTCGTCTCTAACTCCCCAGGTTCCATCCCTTTTCTCGCCGAGAAAATCTCTCGCCGGCTCAACAAAACCAAGGACCGTCTCGTCGCGCTCAAGACCCTCGTCCTCATCCATCGTCTTCTTCGAGGTGGAAATCGCTGGTTCGAGCAAGAGCTCTGCAAATCCCATGTCTCAGGCCATCTGCAGATCAGCATGAGGTGTTTCTGCACAAAGAACAGCTCATCATCATCATCCTCATCATCACCAGACCATGCTTGTGTTTGCTTTCTGCACCAATATGCTTCTTATCTTGAAGAGAGGATGAACTGGCTGATCAACCAAGCAGGGAAGCTCGAACCGATCATGTCTAAAGGGTTAGAGTTCAGAAGATACGATGAGAAATCCATTGACATGGTGTTTAGAACTTTGCCAAAGTGTCAAGTTCTCATTGACAAGGTATTGGATTGTTCTTCAGTTGGTGATGTTTTAGCTTATGACAGCTTGGCTCAATCTGCTATGAGCAATACTCTGAGAGAAAGCTTTCAAGTTTACAAAACCTTCAGTGAAGGTGTTTCAGCTCTTGTGAACATGTTCTTTGATTTAACAGCTTCGGCTAGAGGCTTGGCCTGTGAGATACTGAAGAAAGCTTCTGTACAGAGCCAGAAGCTTCATGAACTGTACCAGACCTGTAAGAAGATAGTGGAGAACAAGAACCTGGAATACCCAAGTGTTCAGATTATCAGTATGGATCATATAATGGCATTAGATCGATGCTTATTAGGAGGAGGAGAAGGAGTAAGAAGAAGTAGTATCTCAAAGCCAGCAAGAATTGGTCCTATTTTGGACCATCTGAGAAGATCAACTGAGCTGGAAATAGCAGTAAAACCAGAAAAAGAAAGAGGGAAGAAGAAAGTGATGAAAGAAGAGAAAATTGATATAAACTTATCATCAACTCTATTCTCATGGACTGTACTAGAGACCAAGATAAGCAAAGTCTGGGTTGTGTTTGAGGATGAAACTCCCATTAATAATGAACCATCATCATCACCACAAGTTCTTTCAGCAGCTCAGTCAAAATTTGGGGATGTAAAGAAAAATGAGTACAGTTCAAATTCCTGTGTGTTGATAAACCCATTTTCATCTGGCATTGATGCACCCTTCTTGTAAAAAAACAAAGGTACAAAATATGCCTGATAATTAAGCTTGATGAGGTGTTTCATATAGATATAGTTTTGGTGAGGTTAATTGTATCAAATATATACTGCTAAATTGTTTCCTTTGTTGTTTGTATACATTTTAAGTAAAAAGTACTGTTTGATATATTTTTGATCGAGAAAGAGGTTGTGTTGAGTTGTTTCCTTTGTTCTACCGTGAGAATAATGAGAGTACAAAGTTTTAGAAGGTCAAAACAGAACAAAAGGAATGTTTTAGTCCCTATCAGTATACATAATTTTACTAATACCATACCTGTCCTTCTCTTTTTCTTCTTCTTCCTCCTCCTCCTCCATTCAATTTTCTTAAGCAAAAGAGATTTTGCTAAGTAAGAAATGATACAAGAAGAAAGAAAGAACAGAGAGTTGCTCTGATTTTGGTTCAGATCAAAGCTAGCTAGCTTTGAGCTTGACACATAAGCCTGGAATTCCAACCTTGCCCATCATAGATATGTGTGCGTGTGAGAGAGAGAGAGAGAGAGCATGAGATCCATTCCCACCACGGAATTGCAGAAAATGGACTAATAGAGCTCTTCAGAACCACCATGGCGGGTCTTGTTTTGCAGAGAAGCATGTGTGAAACTCCATCACGTCAAACCTGGCTACAACTATCATCCATCTGAATTCCATGCATGATGACTTCACGTTGGAGCTACACGAACAATAACAAAAACTCTAGTTTTATTAAGTGATCCATATAATTGCAATATTGTGCCATGTTAACAACCAAATTTTTAGGTATATTGTTAACCAAAAATCTTTATAGAAAATTTCATTGAGTATTTTTTTTTTCCTATGGTATTCCTCTATCTTTTTTCACTGCTCAAGACTATTGTTTCAATTCCACTATTCACACCATTGTTTCAAATTTCAATTCCACTCTTCTCACCTGGGTTTCCCTACTATTTTTTTTTTTATATACATGTCTACACCATTTTAAATAATTTTTTATTATATTTTTTAACAGATGTCATGCCCTTTTTTTTTTTTCATGTATGCTTAGTATGAATCATTTAAGCCTCCACATCTATCTTAACATCTTCATCTTCATAACTCCAATTTTATGTTGCTGTTGTTCCTTCAGAGCAAATATTTACTATTATATAACATAATTGGTCAAACTAAGGATTTTAAGTACATGTGTTTTAAATATGTGATTTTACATTTAAAATCTAAATATAAATCCACCCACTTAAACACTATTGAAATTTATTGTGGCAAATACATATGTTTTTTTTTGGTTACCTACAGATATTCTTCTATATATTAAAAGTAATTATATTCGAGACATTATTAAATATTAAATACAAACACCTTTTCAATAAAAATTTAAACTTTGGTTTGCAGCATTATAAGGACTAGCCTCATTTATTAGGTCCAAGTCTTATTGGTTATTGTACATATTTATCAAACCTAAAAATTTATTTGTTTATATTAATTGAGAAAAATGTAAAGTGAGCCTGAAACTCAACCATCATCTTTGATTTTGAGCCCAATAAAACAGTTGAACTATGAATTGTTGGGCTTTGGGCCACTTTTCTTAAATCGAAGCTCTGTAGCCTAAGCCTAGATATCCCAATGACACATTCTCGCGTTGGGTTTTTGGGCGGGGAGGGGAATATGAATTGTTGTTTAAATTCCTTACACGTCTTTAAAGTTGCATATTGGAAACCGATGGGGGTTAGTCTAATGAAAAAAATCTAATCCTTACAATATAGTGAATTAATGTTTAAATCTTTGTTAGGAAAAATACCCACATTCAATACTTGACGGTGTCGATCAGATACTTGTGAGTAATTGGGGGAAAAAAAAAGCTGTGCATTGAACTCTTCAAAGTTTATTAATGGGATTGAAGTATTCACATTTAGTATTTAATAATATCTCAAACAAATTACTTTTAATAATAAATTTAGTTTATATAATATGTTTTTATTTTTTGCTAAGGGTTATAAACGTAATTTTGCAAAGAAATTTACGTCAATTAAGCATCTAGAGATATCATTAAGGAGATCATCAAACTCACATTCTTCACATTTGTACACAAGTTTATAGTTATAAAGGTATTGTTCAACTCTGGAGCTTTCTTTAAACGAAAAAATTAGATATGCCTAAGAAGAAAAGCTTTGGCACGAATTGGGAGAAACTGATAGATGAAGTTACACATCTTTCATGTCTTGATGAATGTTCATCCTTTACATAGATTTTCATGAATAATATAACGGGCCAAGAAATTATTTAAATAAATTTTGAATATAATTACTCTCAATGCAAATCAATTAATTATGGTGAAAGCAAATAATTGGGAATTTTCTATCCTGTCAACAATTCCTTTGATGCATTAAAATTTTTCCCCATTTTCACAATTATTCAATAGGCAACCTCTTTCATGAGCCGTTTTTTTGGATAGAACTTAATGCAAATTAACTTCAAACAAGCAAAAGCAAATCTGATATAGGAAACGTACGTATTTTTTTGTTAATTAATACATAATTAAACTAATAACTATGCTTTATATATTAATAATAACTTTACCTTTGACATTAACAACTTCAATTTATGTTTTAAGAACCATGCTTTTTATTATTTTGTTCATGTTCAAAATTGCAATTTTGCAAAAACAATTATATCAGACAAATCCCTAGAGACATTTCACTACTGATTATGACATTTTCTTGGTACTTACTTATTATTTACCTATTTTGATGGGATTTATTTGTCTATTTCCCTACAAACATTTTGATTTTTTTTTGATAATGACACTTTGATTTTTAATTGACACATGTCTTAGTTTTTACCTTCACTTGTGTCCCATATATTTTTGTAATCTACTGAGAATAATGTTGGCGATTAGTAAAGATCGTTAGCAGTAGTTCCCTTTGAATTTAATTTAATTAGGGCATGCTAGACGTTAAGCTTTTGGCAATGAAGCAATTAAGTATGTATACTTTTTAAGATTTTGTTAAAATACAAATTATTAATTAGCCTCAAGATGATTTCTAAAAGTTTTACATGACATTCATTTAGATTTGGGCATTATCATATATCCAATGAAAGTTTCATAAAAAATCTAATATACATATATCCTGTAAATCAAATTGTTCCAATTCAATTTGAATGGCATAAAAAATTGACATAGTCATTGATATATAAGATCATTATCTAATATAAATTTTTATAGTAAGCCATATATATATTAATCAAAACCCATAAACGATAACTTCTCTCTCACATTCCAAACAACATGTTAAAAGAGATTTGAAAAAAATCAACAAAGGTTGGATCACTAAGTAAAAATTTGACCCATAACATATTACATTGTATGTTCAAATCCTATCATTGTAGGATTGGATTGGATAATTTGAAACATGAAAGCTAAGGCCACCAACCTAAACACAAGAAAGATTCCTTGATAGAGGCTTTTTGCTTAAGTTTATTGGAACATTTGAAAGGCGTGTTGCAAAAAGATCTATTTGGAGGAAATAATCTAGAACATCGACATTGCCTTTTCTAGCACCCATCAAGTTTCCAATGACATGAGGCTCCATTCAATTTCCTTAGTTGCGATGGTAAAATATTAGAGGCATGATGGAAACCTCTTGAAGTAGGTTAGATCCGTCTTGACATTGATGGGACTATCAATTCCAATGGAGCTGTGTTTATGGTGGAATTATATAAGATGACAAAGGTAATTGGATTAAGGGATTTTCTAAAAAAAAAAGTTGGCTACCAATCCAGCACCATGGCAAAACTCTTGGGTATTTTAGAAGGACTTTAGTTTTGTTGGAATGCATGATTCACTAAAATCAACATACATTTTGATTCAGTGGAAGCTCTCTCGCTTCTCGAGCATAATCTCTCTGACAACCATTCTCTCTTTAGAATTATTAGTAAAGTCAAAGAGTTTGTCATGAAAGATTAGATCATTACCTTCGATCACACATTCATGAAACCAAACAGATGTGCTAACATGCTTGCTGATTAGGCCTCTCAAGAAAATTTAGACCTTATTATTTTTAATCATCCCCCTTTAGGATACAGATCCCCCATGGAATTTGACATGATGTGATTTTTATTCATCTTTTACACAGGTCTTTCGTGGCCTTGTATTAAAAAAACATTGTAGATATGATGACCTTATAATTGGTAGGCTATTTATAAATACTTTTGTCAGTGCCTTTTGACTTTAGATACATGGTTTGGCACTGGTAAGCTCCTACAATCCAACTTACCAAAACTTTTTATATTGCAACCTACACGGATTGGATGAATTATAAGAGAAAAAGAAACACACACACACACAATGATAAGGTAAAGGAAAGATTATATTAATTACTTGAGAAGATGGAGGAGTGGATTTTTGGTAAGGAGGCCCCTCTAATGATGGGATGAATCTTGAATGGATGCTAAGGAAGCCATAGTTGATGACCCAAATCATGTGGATGACTCCAACATGCAGGTGGTGATCCATGATAGGCTTTTAATGTTTAGAATGTGAGTAAAAATACCATTAGTAAGATCACCAAACTCATATTCTTCACATCTACACATAAGTTTATGGTTATAAAGGTGTTGTTCAACTTTAGAGCTTTCTTTAATCAAGAAACTCGGATATGGCTGAGAAGAAAAGCTTTGGCACAGGTTGAGAGAAACTAGTAGGTAAAGCTACACCTTTTTCATGTCTTAATGACTGTTCTCCCCTTAAATGGATTTTCAAGAATAATATAACGACCCAAGAAATTAATTAAATATATTTTGTATATAATTACTCTCATTGCAAGCTCATATGGATTGTGCAAATGATGATGATAAGCACAAGAAACTAAAAGTTATGGTATTACCAAAATTTTCTTTATTTGCATTTTTTTCAATTTTTTCACTATTAGATGTAATAATACTTTACTAAGTATACCATTAACATGATAATCAAGTATCAATCATGATAATGACAATTTATAGGCCTGATTTCCTTTAAAAGTGTTTGGCCCAAAATTGGACACATGCCCAAATAAACATTGCTACAATTTTTTTTTTACAACTTTTAAACAACCAGCTCAATTGCATTATCAATCCAAAAGTCACAACTAAAACCATACAAATTTCAAAGCCAACCCATTTGAATTATAAGAAAATTTGAATGTATATAGAAAAGTTAAGATTCAAGCATAAAACCAAGAACCACCAATTACACTTGGCATGATCCATAGAAGCATCCATAGAACAAGCATTACAAAGATAACAAAGTCATCAAGTTAC